ATTAAAGCAAAAAATAGATACATGCTTAATAATACATAATAATATAATAATACATACTTGGCATTTAACTAGCATTTCGATAAAGGAATCATCAGAATCTTGATTACTATTTAGGCCAGGTAAATAAGGCAATGTCACTCGTTGTTCATCCATTCTTTTACTCTGCATGCCAGCAATGAGCTCTAATAAATCTTCTCCATCTCTAAAAATAAAAATAATTTATTTTAATATATGTTATTATTAAAAAAAAAAAAGTACTTTTTTGTAAAATTACATACTTATCGTCTTCAGGTGTTATAGTTTTAAACTTCTGATTGCGATTTATGTTTAATGCACAGCGTTGATCATCCATTCTACCAGATTGAAAACGAGAAAGAAGATCAAAGAAATTATCTTCTTCTTTTTGAGTAATTTGCGGTGTCGCGTTATTACTTTTATCTATTTGAGATTCAGCTTGCTCTTTTAATTTTGCATCTGGTGTAAGCTAAATAAATGATTTTCGTGAAGGATTTATAATTTCATAAATAATTGAAAATTCAAGATATGGAAGGCACAAAATTATATTAAATAATTAAATTACCTTAATGAGATCTAAATTATCCATACTTTGTCGTCTAAGTCTGTATCTACATGGTGATGATATATTAATATTTGATCCTGTATTGGTCAATAATTTTTGTGCAATATTTTCTTTATTATTCTCTTGTTGTCCTTTTTCCAAGCCCAAAATTTTTTGCAAATCATCAACATTCATTTGTGCAGTAGCTTGTCCCATCGGATCTTCCAATTCTTTGGAGATATTTAAATGTAAATTAGCATAGTGTAATGCTTTCTCATGGTTACCCATTGCTGCATATGCATTGCCTAAAGACCAGCAGGCACGACCTTCACCTACTCGATCTTTAAGCTGTTGTGCTATTTCAAGATGCCATAAATGATATTCTATTGCAGTTGGATAATCTCTGAGTAAAGTATATGTATTTCCTAAAGAATAACATGCTTGTGCTTCTACTTCTCTATCTCCTAATTCTTGTGCAAGGACTAGGGTTCTCCTATAATATATAATAATATATGTTATAATATATATTTTTTTAAATATTGACGAAAAAAAGAATATAAATACATTTAATATAAATACATACTTATAATGTTGTGCAGCTTTCTCAAATTCGCCAAGAAATATATGAGAATTTCCTAAATTACTATTTGCTCTTCTTTCAGCAGCTTTATCACCAAATTCTCTAGCAATTTTTAATCTTTCATTATGATAATAAATTGCTTGTTGAAAATCACCAAGAAGATAAAATGTATTCCCTAAATTTCCACAGGCTCTACCTTGAGCAGCAGAATCTTCTAATTCTTTCATTAATTCTAAATTTTCTCTATAAAAGGCATTCATATGATTTATATCAATATATATATTTTATATTTTCTCTTTATCTTTAACAATATTTATATTTATATTTTCTTACTCATAATAGTGTACCGCTTGTTGTAAGCATTGTCTAACATCTTCAGAAAATTCCCCGGGATCTTGATGACCTACTCTACCAGCTTGCTTACCTTTGGCATGATAAACATTTCCTAAATTGTATAAAGCTCTTCCTTCACTAAGCTATAAAAGAAATTTTTTGTTTAATATTTAAACAACATTGTGTAAATTTATAAGAAATGATTCTATGAGACACACCTTATCTCCAATTTCTCTTGAAATTTCCAAGTGTCTTTTGCAACAAATCATAGCTTCATCAAATTTTCCCATAACTTTTAAAGTATTGCCCAAATTTCCACTGGATTTAGCTTCCCCTAACTTATCTCCCATATTACGTGCAAGTGTCAAATCTAATTTATGATATTGCATTGCTTTCACATAATCTCCAAGATAAAAATAAGCATTTCCTAATTGGCTGTAAATTGCACTTAAGATTCTTAAGTCATCTGTGCCTGCTTGAATTGCAGCTTGAAAAAATGCAACTCCAGATTTGCAATCTCCAGCCTTACACAGACGCTCACCCTCAAGCGCCAATTCAAGGCACATGTTCCACCTTTCATTATTCTGTCAAATATAAGAAATTTCATTTAAAATAATTATTTATTATGTAATGAAATTATGAATAAATAATAAAAATATATTAGAATTATATTTCAATTCAACAAGAAAAACAGAATTATAAAATGTTTAATATATAATTACAATATGCTTTCTTTTAAAAAAAAATGTGAAAAGAATATGGAATGATTATGGGAGTGGCTGAACATGCAACTATAATAAATTGATTATAGACAAAGTTTATACTAATAATTTAAATTTATTAATAATTTCAAATGAATAATAAATTAAAATAAATAAAAAATCTTAAAAATGATTAATTAATGCATTAATTACAATTAATAAGTACATATAATAAAAAACATTCATTGTATGTCTAATATTTTCTTTTTTCTCAATATATGTTAACTGTTTATAAAAATCTTTATAAAATTATATATCGATAAATAATAAAAAGTAAAATAAATAAAAATAAATTAATCGTACAATAATTGTAATGATAGAATAGTATGAGTCATGCATAGAAAAGCATAGCATTTAATATGGTTCACTTACTTGCCCTTCCGATGATAAATTTTCTGCACTCGCGCTCAAAGACATTGTGCTTCTTTTTGTTTTTGCTTTCTTCGTAAATTAATAATCAATCCTCTAAATTTTTCGACTGTAAAATAACGCGAATTTTACATAAATTGTAAAGAATTAATCGGATTATGATAATAATTTGGCGTGTACAATTTTTCACGCATTGTGGTCCTGCTATTTTTCTATTACGATTTATTCTTTTTGCATAACCACATCCGCATATTTCTGCGAATAAAAAGCGCGTTACTTTTCTCTATATGATATATAACTATTCGCGGCACTTTCACAATGCAATTGGCCAAAAATTAAGCGTCCAAACAAATGGCGCTCGATGTAGCTAATAAAACCATGGATGAAATACAAAATAGATCTATCATCTTATGAAACTTTGTATCCTATATTCTGAAATACCGATTGCGCGAAAAATAAAAGAAATGTTGGAATTATATTTAATTCAAACATAAAAAAATGAAGAAATAAAAATTGAAAAATAATTTCTTTAATATATTCTTTCATAAATATTATTGTGCATTATATATTGTGCATTATATGTATTGTATTCATAGACATTTGATTGTTACAAATAATAGATGGATCATGTATCAAATGAATTATTTATGAATTAAAAATTATACGTGTATTTTTTATTACAATGAAAATAAGAATATCTGTGTAAAAATATTTTGATCAATACAAGATAGATAAAGAAGACAAAGAAAGAAAAGAAAAAGAAAATAAACATAATTAGATATCGATGCCGTTTCTTCTGCATAAATTTCATAAAGTATAGATAAAGAGAAAAGGATAGAGAAAGAGTAAAAATATTGAAATCAACGCCATCTTCAGAGTGCCGCAAATGAAACTTATAAAGAAAGAAAAGTACATAATTAAAAAAGGACAGAATAAGAATTGACTTTCATCGCCATCTCTTAAATACTAGACCTATTTTTTCAAAGTATATTTGCTTACAAGATAAAGATAAGATTTGACTATTAGCGCCATCTCTTGAATAAGTTTATTTTAAAATATTATTATGATATTTCTAATATTCGAGAGATGGCGGTGAAAGTTAATTCCTTATCTGTTTCTATCTTTCTCTTATTATTTGCTCTTCTTGTCTATATTTGTTTCATTTGCAGCACTCACGAGATGGCGTTGATTTCACAATTTTTAATTTATCTCTATCTTTATTCCATTATTTTCTTTCCTTCTCTAGCTAGATGCGTGACCACAGACGAAAATATTATGGAATGTTAAATGAATGTTATTTTTTACAATATATTTTAATTAAATTACTTTATTTTAATTCTGCAAATTTCTAAATAATTTAATTTTTTGAAACGAAAAATTAATGATAATAATAAATAAATTTCGTTTGATGATTAACCAAAATTCCATAGATGGCGTTCTCTACGTACATGCAATACATAACGATTTTGGACTCAATGTACTATCATGACGCTTTGTGTGTATTTTGTACTTCTCTTTATATTTACAGTGTTCAATCGGTTGAGCTTGACAGAACCTAAACGATGGATTAAAACCGTTCTCGTGAATGAAATTTAATCGGTAAACGAAAAGTTATTCGGCAAAAGTGATTTGAATCGCGATAAATGAAACGATATTAAACGGTGAAGTGAAGAAGGGGAATCTTTCAGATCTGAGAAAGATTTTTAGTCATTTCGAATGGATATACAACCTCTCTACTGAATGGTTTTCATCTTACTGGGTTTACTTTGTCGTAAGATAGATATTTAACAATTGTAACTTTTCTTTGTATCACACAATTTTATATTTCTTCTTCTACTATAACGAAAGTACATTAGATTAATGATGAGTGATGGTAAGAAGGTAGGTGAAAATTCCAGTAGTGAGGTTGTTAACCTATTTCGAAGCTGTAGGGATCTTAGTGACATCGTACCTCTATATACACCACGAGCACTTTACTTAAAGCCAGTTGCAAAGATAAATGTTTCTGTTAATCTTCCTCAACTGAAAGTTCCAGGTAAAATGGTTAAAAATGATACATATTCTATTTTCATTTGCATTTTTATTTAATATAAAAGTTATATTTACATTTGCATCTAAATTTGTTTATAATTCTTGACTGAATTTTCGTCAAAATCTTTCATCTATATATACTTCATATTTATAATTTTTTTTTTATATATGAATTATTTTTCGAAATCACATTTGCATATTTTAACCTCATGATTCTTTTAGGTTAATGGCAAATGCATTTATTAATAATATTGATTTCTGTGACAGGAAACATCATTATTGTTTTAAATTGTGCGCAAATCTATAATTATACACAATATTTTTAGCATAGTAGGTTTTTACAGAAAATTAACTGCGATATAAACAGGAAAAACAATATCAACATGGGAAGTAATGGAGAAGATACGTGCCTTTATACTACCAGACGAGTTTGCATCTCTGAAGGTAGCCAAGAGTACATTGGAATTTATCAGATTGGAAGGAGACTTGCAAGACAGATGCAGACTGCAGCGTGTACTTGCAAGATTAGACTCTCAACGTTTAAATTTATCTGGATTTCCCAATGTGTTAAAAGTCCGTGCAGCAGAAGCAAAGGATGATTTTCCTACAAGGCATAGCTGGGATTCATATTTCAGAGATGCTAAACATATGAATGAATTAAAACCTGGAGAAAGGCCAGATACTATACATGTAACAGGTTTGCCTGTTAAATGGTTCATTGAGGATGGAGCAACAATGCCTAGTGAATCCTTGATTAACAAAATATTTAGAAAATGGGGAATACTCAGAAGAATAGATGTACCTGCTGCTGATCCCTATAGATCTAGAATGCGTCTGGGCACAAATATAAATAAATTTAGTTATGAAGATGGCATATTTTTTGATGCTTACATTCAATATGTTGAATATATGGATTTTGTTAGGGCTATGGATGCATTGCGTGGCATGAAACTTCTCAAAAAAGAAGGAGATAAAGCATTTACGGCCGCTATTAAGGTACGATTTCGATAAGAATTTTAATTTATAATTTATTGTTTTAATATTAAATTAAAAAATTTTAATTATATTATGCAGATTACGTTTGATAAAACAAAACATATGAGTGATAGTACTGTAGCACATAGAGAATTTGAAAGAAAACGCCTAATAGCACAGGATACATTAGCAGCAGAACGACTACGTAGGAAAGAAGAAGCTGAAGAGAAACGTCGTGAAGAACTAAAGTAATTAGCAATAATATTTATCATCATAAATATAATTTCAAATATATATAATAGTTTGACATATTTGGTATCATTTTTATTAGGAAAAAAGAAGAGGCTGAAGCAATAGCTAAAGAAAATAGACGAAAAAAACGAGAAGAGAAACGAAAGCGTAAAGCTATAACTATATTTCGAAAGAAGGAAGAAGATAAAGTATCTATGAAAATTGCCAGAGAAGGACAAAAATTAATAAAAGCACAAAGACAGCTCGAAAGCATTCGTCTTTTAGATGAATTATTTGATAGAATAAAGGTAAATATTAACGAAAGTTTTATCATTTTTTTATAATAATAAACTTGACTAAAATTCATTTTTTGTATTAAGATAAAAGTGGAGAATAATGAAATTAATATAGATGAAGTAACAAACATAGATACAAAAAAGGAAGAGAAAAAGAATAATAAAGTAGATGGTACAATCGAAATATTAAGTTCAGAAGAAGATTCAAAAGATGGAAAAAAAGATAAGAAAATTAAAAAATTAAAGAAGAAAAAATCTAAAAAAGAAAAGAAGAAAAAAGTATCTATTTATTATATTCTTTTCTAATTTTTATTTATTTATTTATTTATATTGAACAGTTTCATTTTCTTTTTTTTTCTTTTTTATAGAAGAAACGAAAAAAGGGAAAAAATTCTGAAAATTCTGTAAGTCAAAGTGAAGAATCAGGTGAGGAGCAAACAAAAAAATTAAAAAGTGTTTTAAAACAAAATATTACATATCCATCATCATCAACAGGTGAGTATAAGTTGAAAAAATTTATACGAATCATTAAATATATTTATATTATTTTATCTCTTTCAGCACCTGCACCTCTAGAACCCCTTTCTTATCCACCGCTTTATCCACGTTTTCCACAACCATGGTATTACGATGCTACTTTACCTATGATTTACCCTAGTTTGCCAAGAGGTATGCCTAGGAGTGGTCGTTTCTTACGAGGAAGAGGTAGAGGATTTTCATGGCGTAATGCTGCAAATCATCGTACATTACATACGTTTAACCCTCATTTGTATAACGAGCAGTATTACAAGTACTTTGCTCATTTAGTAGGTCAGGATTATCGTGCTTTCGATTATAGAAGTTCACGGTCACGAAGTCGTAGTAGGTCAAGATCAAGATCAAGATCGAGATCTAGATCAAAATCACGATCGAAATCCACAAGATCAAGGTCTCGTTCGAAATCAAGATCTAAATCACGGGACAAATCGAGATCGAAATCACGATCAAGATCGAAATTAAAAACTAGATCGAGATCTCGAAGTAGAAGACGAAGTAGAAGCAAAAGTAGATCACGTTCGAAAAAACGACGAGGAAGATCAAAATCAAGATCGAAATCTGTAACAAGAATGAGATCTCGATCACGACGATCAAGATCAAAGAAAAGAACTCGTTCAAGAAGTCGTTCTAATTCTTGGAACAATAGCAAACATCGCTATAGACGTAGGCGCGAAAGATCAGTATCAAAGGTAAAGGTTACAAGAGCTAAATCTCGCAGTGGATCTCCTAAGAGAAGATCTCGTAGTAGTACATGGTCTATGCCTAAATCTCCCGGTAGAAGAAGTTGCTCCTGGTCAAAAAATGCGGATATCACTAGCAATAAAACGGATGCCGATAAATCGATATGTGCAATGGAGCAAAATATTGCAAACAAAGAATTATCACAAGCTTCTCATTTGGAGAATATAACTTCCGATTGATAAGAACCGAAGATAAGATCTAGATCTTCCATTTTATTTCTTTAATACTTTTACGTAAATGAAGCGTATTTATTAACGCTTTGTACAAAATCTGTATGAAATCTGTATGAATCCGTAATTATGTACTCGTAATTGTGTATATTCGTAGTAATTCTTTGATAAAAGGAGATATATATTTTTATTCTCAGACTGGCTCTTCCTGATTTTAGATGATTTCTTATAGTATAATCTATAGGAATGAAAATATGTAAGTGAATCACTTATACACGCGCAAAATATTGCTAATGTTCGAATCCTGTGGATATTTGAATTCTGAATGTGTATTGTATATATTGTTATGAATGATCAAAAAATAATAATAGATAAGAATGCTGCATTTTTATCTCAAGATTAAGAATAAATATATAACATTAACATATTAAATATGTATTGAATCATCCCCAAAATACTGCATATAGTAGTACACCGACATTTATTTTGGTAAATTATTTATTGATCCAAATATATATAATGAAATATTATATAAATTAGTTTTAACCTTTTTTATTTTTCTTCAGGAAAGGTACAGGATGTATCGAAGTAAAAAACAATAAGATTCGACTTGCAAATTTTATTTGTTTTTCGGCATGAAAATGCATTGGTTCATAAACATTATTAGTCATTATACTTCTATCCCTTCGTAAAGGATCGAAGATCGTTTTTTTTTTTCTTCCTTAGCAGCGTTCCTCGAAAATACACGCTACGATTAAAGTTTTATCGACTGGTGCTTCGCTTGATATTAAATAATTCGCCTATGATTAATAAGGTTTATTCTTTCTCTTTCTTTAACTTATTAGCGCCGTGATTAGCACCTCATGCATAAGTCCGCTCGATTCAAACATGACTCGTTTCGTTAAACACGGTATTCGTTTCTTTTCTTTTTTTTTTAATTTTTCCTCTTTAAAAATATGTGCTACATTTTTTTATTTGTTTCTTTGTCTTCTCATCGCTATATTTAATTATATAATAATACGTATATATATATACACCTCGCATCGTTTTAATCGTTACTCGTATGTTTCGGAATAACAACACCAGTTTGTTCTATTCATTTTTTTTCTTTTTTTTAGTATTACAATCTCGATGCTCCATAATGATATTCAATCTAATGGAAGATTCTTCATCATTCGTTTGAACATCGTTCACTTTATAAATGTTTTCTGTCTTTTTCCATTCTTTATTCAACATTATTGGCATTACTCGTTTACACTGGTTTTTCTTTTTTTTCACCATTTTTTTTTCGTTTTTTTTTTGTTTTCTTAAATCATCTACCGCTACGATATCTTCGGAATTGATTAGATATTGACTACTTTCAAGATTCGTTGCGTGGGAATTGTTTTTAAATTTATTTATCGCGCGACGATAGCGTTCGCCCATTTTCACATTTTCACATTTTTACATTTTATAAAACTCGCGAATTTGATAAAATTATAAATTCCATCCTCATTTATGATCTCTTCTATAGAACGAGCGCTATCATCCGCGTTAATTGAATCGGTGATTAAGGGAATGAAATATAAAAATGGAATTATATAAATAAAAAATGAAATTATCGCAAATTTATAATCAATAAAGTAAAATAATCTATATATAAAAATAATTAGATAGAAAATGGTGATAAATATTATTTAATTTTATATTTCAGTTATAAAGTTATAACATAAAAAATTTTTTTTAAATATTCGATACTGCTAAATCAAATTCAGATATTTCGATTTTTCAGAAAAAAAAAAAAACTTTTGCAATTTGCCCTTCGTATCACCGATGCAATTTTTCTTTGAAATTTTTCAAGAAATTACTCTGCATCATTGCACGTTTCACGCCGTAACAGAGTACAACAGAGGTACCATTTTTTTTTTATTCGTTCAATCGATCTCGTTCCATTCACCACGATGTTACATTCTATATGTGAATCGTCCATTTTCCAATGGTGAAGCTTCTAAAATTTACTCAGTCATATAATACTAGGTACAAAGAATCCTATGAAACACAATGGAAAATCGAACTCGTGGAAAAACAAATTCGAAACAAAAGCCTAGAGTTTTTTTTTGTTTTTTGGAATACAGGCGGTGCGATCGTCTGTTTAAAATTTTTTTTTTATTTTTATTTATTTATTTTTTTTTATTTTTCTCATTCACTCGATAAATTTCGTTATTATATATTTGGCTACAAAATCGCTGGCCCTTTCAATTATCGCGTCGCTAAGTTATATTCTTTTCTAAAAAGTTTTTCTATCTAGCTCTCACTTTATTCTCCCGTCGCGATTGTTCGTTTATTTATTTTATTTTTCTTTTTTTTTTTTTTCTTTTTTTTTTTTACAATCGGTATCTCGTGTAACAACGGTATTTTGAACAAGTTTTTCGATAGAAAATTAGCAAGAAATATATAGATTTCTTCTCGGCTTCTCTAAATTACGGTGGACGCACCGAACATTTGGGAAATGAACGACCCAAAGATTTACAATTTTTTTTTTTTGTTTCGCAGTTGAGCAAGCATTACATGCTTTTTCATCACCAGCCATCGTCCAATAATGTACAAGTGCTAACGCGACACCCTGTGGGTTACTTCTCTTTCGTTATCTATATAGAACTTTTCCGATGGGCTGTTACATTGAAAGGACACACATAAGATGTAGTCTCGTATTGAGAGTTCTATTTTGGAAAACTTCACATTCACGAAATTGTAAAAGTGATGCCGAGTATCTTTTCTTTCGAGTGTTATCCAATTCGAAAAGAACGATTGAATAAGAGATTGAGTGAAGAAATTTTTATTTTTCTCGTGAAAAATGTACGTAGATGTTAAATTTATTCGTCATGCTAAATTTTTTAGTCAGAAAAGAATTTTATGATTTCTTTACAATGATTAATGATAAATAAATTTAAAAATATTTTTTATTCTCTACTATTATTATAATTCACTACTATTTTTTATTCTCTACTATTATTTAATTCACTATTGAATAAATAAAATTTTTATTCATTTTATGAAAAATATGAATTTAAACTTTTTTCTAATTTTTACAATGACTAAGTTTCCTCTTGAATAAATAAATAAGGTTTGAAAATACTTTTAGTTTTATAGAATTATTTTTTTTTGAACGTGAATAAGTTCGTTCGATTCTACATAATAAATGTAAATTCAAGTACATATATTATTCCGAAAATAAAATTTGATGAAGTAGTTTTATGTGTTTTCCATTCAATTGAATTTGAACAACCGTCGCGAAATTATAGAGATTTTTTTCGTTTTGTTTCAGCGATTTTCCATATTCCATGCAGAGACTGTCTGCGAAGAAAAGTCTTCGTGAACTTACGTAATCAGCTTATACAATTGCAACGTCAACGACACTCGCATTAGATTTACGTGAAAGCAATCGAATCGTATTGTGAATAAAAATACTGTTCGTCGACTAGTTGATTAAAACATTGACGCAGCTATTGTGGAAGCAAATTGTCTTGGATATTTTTTGAAAACGTCGATAACGTGGTACGTGGAAAGAAAATATTATAAATCATGTTATAAAGTTCAATCAATTTGAGTAAATGCAATTTTTTAATAATATTAATATTATTTTATTTATTATTTTATTATATATATATATATAATATATATATATAAAAAGAAACGTTTAGAAAGAAATTTTCAGGTATTTTGAATTTGTTCAATTTTACTTTTTTAATTTTATTTTACTTGTTAATTTGCTGTTTTTTTATTTTTCTTTATTATATGTTAATAATGAATTTTTGATGATAACGATTAGAAACGATGAGGTATATGAAGTTAAAAATTCATAAAACTGATTCGTTGTAAACAATTGAGCGATAGTATAAATCTCTTTCAATGCACCATCCGTTCAATATACCAACTATCGATAGTTTTCGATTATTAGAGCCTAATATCGATCAATGAATTGAAGATCGTTTAGTCTAAATAAAACTGCATTTATCAATTATGACGAAGTGATTACCGAAATATTATTTTCAAATCAGACACAAATGTTTTTTGTTTGAATTCAACAAATGATGTGACGATGAGTATACAATACAAGTATGCATGAGTATACAATGAGTATGATAATCATTAGTGAATGATGATTTTAAAATCGTGAACAATTTTCGTGAAACAAAAAGTATTTAGCACATTTTCATATTGCTTCATCTTTTGTGTCCCCTGTCAACGATATATAAATAGTATAAGAGAAATAGAGAAATAGGGAGAAAGAGATAGATAGATAGATAGATAGATTAGATAGATGGATAGAGAGCTCATTAAAAAAGACTGTTTCCCTTTAACTCGTGGTCGCTAGATCATCCTATATAGATTAATAGGTATTACGTTACTTAGTAATTTGTTGGTCATTTTATGTAACAATTAGATGGCGACAGCCCGCTAGTTAATATTTGGTAAAGATCTTAATAAAGTGTTTGAGAGTTAAAACCGTTTAAACGCTACCGTTATTATTCATCATAATAATCATAATAATCCGTAATAATCATAATAATCATCCGTAATAATAACAACAATAATAAATGACCAATATGTATTAATAACGTGGTAATTCTCGTATAAATCGAACGGAGAAACCGATTTCTCCGATTTATGTTTTCTTCGTCATTTATCGTCTTTCTCTTTTACCCCTCTTCCCACCTTCCCCCTTCTATTTCCCTCCTCCCCCTCTCATTTATTTTCCGTACAAGATGATCGATCGCAATCATTTTGCGATTTTCGTGCGGATATCCGCGCTTTTTCACATTGTCTTACGCGTGTCAAGCGTTAATATCCTACGCCTTCCAATCCCGTGATCGAGAATTTGTTTCTCCATCCTCCCTCCCCCTCCCCTCCATCTTCGAGTGCATTGTCGATCCGTCGGCCCATCGATCGAAAGTTTCGCTAATTAATCGTAACAGGAAGGAAGAAAGTAATACGAGGGTCAACGTGGAAACAACTCTGTCTCTGTTCAACTACGTTTATGTACAAAGATATAGTCCGATTTAGCCTATGTTCCGATTACGCCTGACCTTTTTCTTTTTTTTTTTTCTTTCACAGCGCGATTTGTGTGTGTGTGTGTATGTGTGTGTGTGTGTGTATGTGTGTGTGTATGTTTCATGGGTAGATTCCGGTGTTCATGTGCGCGTTTTTTTTCTTGTTCCTCTTTTATTTATTTTTTTCTTCTTTTTTTTTGTTTTTGTTTTTTTTTTTTCATTTTTTCGAATCACGACGCGTTTTCACGACTGTCAGCGTTGACGGGCACGAACGATTTCACGGAATGAAGGCGGCAGTTACGCACTCCCCGTGCATATTGCGCAGTACATCGCAACCGAATGCAATCGGTTATTCTCATATTTTCCGAGGTACACGAGAACGCGCTCCATTGTGTTATACGGTGCGCAGC